TCATCAATACCTAATATGATATCCTGTTAATATTGTGATGGTACCATATTTTTTGTCATTTTTTCACACTTTATCAAATCTTTAAACTAGATAACTGCTTATTTCATTGTCCTGTACAATCATTGAAAACAATTTACCCTAGCCATACTCCCTATTAAAACAAATAAACATCTTGTATATATTCATTTAGTTATTTTTCGAATCTGGTTTGGACAAAATTTCTACTACTATTATACTTCAAACAGTAAATTTTAAAATTGCAACCCAAGGTTGTGAGGTATCTTAATGTTGAACACATTGTGATTGTATTCGGGAATATGACACTTGTTTTCCTTTCGTTTGATGTACTTGAGCTTTTGATTTTGCCATTTGATTAGATACTTTCCGTTTTGAATTTTTCTTGAAGCTCGGTATTTTTGTAACTTTACTTTTTAATGCAGATATATTATCTGATTTAATAACACAATATACATTTTATTTTAGCAAATGTCTTACTGCATACCCGATGATTTTGTAACTTAAAGATAATTTTCTCTTAAAGTTGTTTTTCTAATACGAATGACCGACAAGAGTATATTACGTCTCATTTGAAGAGTCGACAACTATAAAGCAATCTAATTAAAAAGCTAAATCGACTTTTGAATTCGTACACTTTCCCTTACATTCTTATGTCACAATGATTATGTTAATACGTCACAGTAAGAACTTATTGTTCAATGACGTCATTTACGCCGATTGACCTTGGGTCAACCGATGTAACTCATTTATAAAAAAAATCCAACTCAAGGTTAGTCTATTGGCTTTAAATCAAATAATTCTAAAGGTAAAAAATAATGTAAAGAAAATCTTACCGACCTCCATTTAACTGTTCAATACTACAAACACATAATATCTACATCTGTTACAGTTAGTGAATTGCTTGCAACTGTAATATGAATACTGGCTGCTTTTTGTGTGTATAATGTAGTGTATTATAAACAAAAATGAAGCATGAAATAACAGGTTAAAACAGGAAAAAAAACCACAAATTTTAAAAACCATGAAGTCGAAAATGCAGCAATATATTCTAACTATGAAATGATATATTTTTAACAAAATATCTATTTTAATTCACATCTTTGTGTTCTAATCACTTTAATTGTTCCACAAATACATTTACATAACTGTATAATCCTTTGTAACTACACACTTGGAAATGAAATATACGACTTTCCGACTTCTTTGGACATGCCCATTCAAGGAATGTCGAATTCAATGAAGAACTGTAATGATTTTAACAATAAGCTTCAGAAATGAAATACAAAATAAAATAGATTAATACTAACATTTTGCTTTTCAAAGGTGTTGGACACAATTGATTCGATTGAAAGCTTGAGAAGTAGAGTATACTTAATGAAACAACGATACAAAAACATATATACGTTCTTCATAAATACACACGTCTAAACAATATTTCAGGACTCTCAATATATAAAAAAAAAAAACGATTTATAGCTTTCAATCTTATTGACGTTCTCCCAACACATCTATTCATACATAACTATTAAAGATCTGCTTGTAATGCCAATGTCCCTTATTGACAATAAATATAGAAAATATATTCAAAGACAACATTGGCTATGGTTCCTGATGAGGCAGGCACAAGACCAGGTATCGGGAATAAACTAGTGTTTAAGTGTAATAAAAAAGGGTTTATCAAAACGTATTAAAACAAATAGGAAGAACAGCATGCAAGTGCAGCGCAAATCTGAAGACTGAATAAGTGATTCAATAAATAGATCCGCAACAAATTAAAATGAAAATAATATTCTCTTAATGAATTTTCAGCACGCAAATAGACAAAAACGCTTTGCTATATATCCAAGCACTGTAGATAAAAAAGAAGTTTACATATTCAACCAATCTTGTACAATGTTGCCTAATATTTATTTGTGGTTTATATGGGTCTTTTCATCGCCTGTAGTTTGGTGTAACAACGAAGGAAAGATGAAAATTCAAGTCGGTATAACTGCGACAGGTAAGTTGATAGTTTAAACATGCTTATAACAAATTTAATGTTTATCTGGTTATTTTTCTCTCTTTAATTGACCATTCTGTAATTTTTCCCCAGTGTTTCAATTAAATCATTTTGTAGAATATACTTTGAAAAACTGTAAGTTTAAATGAGTTTCAATATTCGTAACCATCTATATTGATTATAAAATCACATAGTGTTACAATGTTTTTGTTTGTCCATGGTAAAATTCTGATTTCTCTTTCTGTATGGTTTATTGCATGGCAAAGTATAATTGCATTAGTACGGACACATATTTCGTTATTTATCGAGCAGTGTAAAATAAGAAATTACATCTATCTTTTTTTACATTTTATATTTTTACCAGCATATTTTATTTCAATTTTGCAATTTTTTCTCCAGTATTCCTCTCAAATGTTGCAATGTTTTTTCCAATAATCCTCTCAAATGTTGCAATGTTTTCTCCAACATTCCTCCCAAATGTTGCAATGTTTTCTCCAACATTCCTCTCAAATGTTGCAATTTTTTCTCCAGTATTCGTCTCAAATGTTGCAATGTTTTCTCCAACATTCATCTCAAATGTTGCAATGTTTTCTCCAATACTACTCTCAAATCAAGGAGATTTAATTGAGTTCTATGCAGCGTTGTGCAAATACAGGATCTTTATCTGATTAAAAATTACAGCCACACTTCTTCGAGACAGATTACGTCAACATCAATCGGATTATATAGAATATCAGTTGAAATATAAATAGAATACATGTAAAGGACAAACATTAAAGAATAGAGACAATAGTCTTAAAAATTAAACAAAAAGGAAGTTTTTGCCCACTATTCTCTATTCTGCAAACACCATCAAGACCCTCAAACATTTGTACCAGTTATTTGATTACAATCAGACAAACGCGTCCTTGAAATGTAAATCGACAGAAAATAATGTTGGTTAAACACTAAGACTTTTGATTTTGAATTTCTGATAAAGATTCCTAACTATGCTTACTTTTATCCCATATTATTGCACGTTAATAACCCTCTCGTAAAGTCACTGAAGTGTCCGTATCATTGATTATGAGATATCGAAAAGAGGGACGAAAGATACCAGAGGGACAGTCAAACTCATAGATCGAAAACAAACTGACAACGCCATGGCCAAAAATAAAAACAAACAGACAAATAATAGTACAGATGACACAACATAGAAAACCAAAGACTAAGCAACACGAACCCCACCAAAAACTGGGGGTGATCCAGGTGCTCCGGAAGGGTAAGCAGATCCTGCTCCACATGTGGCACCCGTTGTGTTGCTTATGTTATTACAAATCCTGTAAATAGTATCATTCGGTAAGTCACATTTGTGAAAAGGGAGGGTATTGTAGTTACGACATAAGGAACATATCCGATATCATCTGTGAAACGGTTATTCTATAATAGTCAACCAACTCGTGATGGCGTCCGTAAAATTTACGAAGGGATGACTTCAACTTCACCATTTGCGTTCAATACCGTAGCAGCTAGATAACCGCTATGTCCTAGATATCTATCTTACATAATTGTTGATCTCTCCACGTCTTTTTTGTAATTGTAAATTTCTTCAACCTATGCTTTCGGATTCATCTTTGGTATCCAATATACATACTTTTTTAATGATCGATTGTTTAAATGAATAGGATACTATACGTATCAAATTGACTCGTTTCCTTGTTTTATGTAGAAACAAAATGAATAACGATCCAAGTTAACGTATTGGTCCTTTGAATAAACTAATTCTTAAAGGTTATCAAACAATATTGTGATGAAATCAGTAAATAGCAACAAAGGAAAACCTTACCTTTTCAGATATAACTGTGGGATGACGTGTTCGCAAGTCATCCCTTTCCTGCATTATTTCATTATCAAAAAGAAAAACACTTCTTACATATTCGTAAATCCATTTGTTTGGTAAAAAGTGTTGTTTGTTTGCTATCTCGAAAACGTTTAACCAACATGGCCTTTTTTCGTTTTCTATAGACTTTTGCTCTTATTTGTTCTTTATATGTTATGTGTACGCAGTCTGGTGTATTCGTCATATCCGTATGATACATAGGTTGCGTTCAATACCGTAGCAGCTAGATAACCGCTATGTCCTAGATATCTATCTTGTTGAACGATATGCTAATAGCTAGGCTATCCAAATGACGTCATTAATAATCTTTCGGACGCCATTTTGGATTCTCTAGATAGCATGAATTTGTTATGCTATCTAGATATATTTAGCAGCTAGGCTAGCTACACGTTCAGTAGTCGAAATTTACGTAGCCCTACGTAGCCCTTCGTAGCAGCTATGATATTGAACGCACCCATGATGTCAGTACACGACGTAAGATACGAATATTGGCACGATTGACATAGGCACGTGAGTCTGAATTGTTGTTTACCTAAAACTTTATATATAGGAATATAGGTAGAAAAATATTCAAGATACAAGCGCATTTAAATGCCGATTTACCTCAAAATCATAGGTATTCATAATTTTCTTATATCTTATAAAAAGAAATTAAATTCCAAATCGATCCACTTGATTAAAATATGGCTATTTATGTTTAAAAATTTCTTTTCATAGGTTGATTATAATCCATGACTGAATTCGGTGAAATGTAAAAAAAAAAACAACCAAATTTTAAATCGTGTAACGCAAACTATGCAGATAAATAAAATAAAGGACAATCTTTGCTGAAAAAGATATCCACACCTGCAAAAATAAAGCGGTGGAACATGTCATGAAGACACTCAAAACTGGAATATAATCTCATATTATCTAAAGAAGGCGGTTTGATAAGAGCCATTTCTTGGCCCTTTATTTCTTATTATTATCAATATCCTATGAGACATTTTATTACAGTGTAACCTTTGGTATTAGCTTTATTTCAATTTTGTTATCCCCGTCCCCATATTTTGGAATGTAGGATGATCCTGTGCAATGATAAGTGAAAACTAATGTCAAAAGGTATTTTCTGAAAATTTTTTATTAACAACGCATCATATTGAAAAATCTCAAAAACATTATTATCTATTTAAATAACATATTATATATAAGTCACATAGTCATGCGCAACCTAGTGATATACATAAAAACATTACAGCTGTCAAAACTATGTCTGTGAAGAACGGAACATTGTTCAAGTGTATATAAAGTATTTATTTACATTCAGACAAGTATTCCTTCTTGCGAATTTCCGTATAGTCTCGTGTAGTACTCGACAGCACTTAGAAAATAACGGATATCAGTTTCTTTCCTTTAAAATACCAAAATTGTGTTCTGCTATTGGGAACAATTACTTTAACGAACTTAATATATATAAATTTTATATCTTGCTATGCGCTATGGAATTTGCTCATTGTTGAAGGTCGTACGGTGACCTTTAGTTGCTAACATCCAATTCATTTGGTTTTTGGCGATAATTGTCTCATTGACAGTAATACCACATCTTCCTGTTTCGTATTAATCTTTGTTCATTTCATGGTAAATATAAAAGTTAAAATTGATTTTGAAAATGCGAGCAGCGAACAAGTTAGATAAACCTGTAGGTACTATCATCAAAATCCAGAACGATTTCAAGTACTTTGAGCATATCATGCAACATCAATCGTATTGACCAGAAGTAAAAGTGAATTATAAATTATTAATAGATATAAGAAGATGTGGTATGAGTGCCAATGAGACAACTCTCCATCCAAGTCACAATTTATAAAAGTAAACCATTAAAGGTCAAAGTACGGTCTTCAACACGGAGCCTTGGCTCACACTGCACAGCAAGCTATAAAAGGCCCCAAAAATAACTAGTGTAAAACCATTCAAACGGGAAAACCAATGTCTCATCTATATAAAAAACGAGAAACAAGAAACACTTATGAACCACATCAACAAACGACAACTACTGAACATCAGATTCCTAATGTAATGACTGTATTTAGACCTCCGATGTCTTTTACTTTTTCTGTGTCGTTTGGATGCTGTCTCTGTGACGTATATTCCACACAAACTGTTGTTTAAACTAAAATAGAATCTTAAATTTTAAATTCGTAAAAAAAATGGGCCTTCAACATACAGATGCGGTAACCATACCAACAAATAGAGGGATAGATTTAATGGAAAATATGAAAGTAAGTAAACAAATGTTCTATTGATATAAAGAATTACGAAACTAAAAACGAAGCATATGAGAATTGTTCCAGTAAAACCTTACATTTTCTTACTTTAGCAAACGTCTAAATTGTTTTCTGGTGAAGGATAGTGGATGGTGTTACATGTATTTATAAGAGATGTTTGTCTTTACTAACGTCTAACCAATAGTACAAGGTTAATCAAGTAAATATTGACAAGTGGCACCACCTAGTTTCTACATCCAAAATAATAGCTGAAAGTAAATTAATTTTCTAATGTCCTGTTAATTAGAGAAGAAAATTGAACTTATCAATAATGAATGTCAGTCAACGTCTAGCTATGATTTTACACTACTGTCTTAGGTTAGGGAATTGGTTGAGCATTCACAAACGTGTTTAATCCCTCCACATGCTTTATATATCCGTCCAAAACTAGGAGCCTGTAACCAGTGTTTTTTGTTGGGTGCTGTCTGTTATATTTAAAAAAAATAAATTCCCCGTATAATTTGGGCGGTTAATGTTCTTATTTGAATTGTAACATATTTTGCTATCACAGCGTCTTTCATTCCATAATACACGTCTTGGGGTTTGCTTAATATTGAAGGTCGTACGTTGTCTTGTGTGTTTTGCAAATAGTAATTTCGTCCTTAATGGATATAAGTGTCTCATCGGCAGGTATACAACATCTCCTTATTATAAAGTTGCAAAAATTGACTTACTTCGGAGTCAGGCAAATGAACAAACATACAATAGATAACTATTTTTTCAAAAAGAATTCCATAAGAGGGTAAATGAAGTATGCCTATATCTGTTTTTCTTAACATCTGAGACGTAACAAACAAAAGTAGGCAGAAGGGAAAGAAACCTGTAAAACATAAATTAAGTTTTTTTTATCATCATAGAAGACTTTTTAAGAGTTTGAGATTTATTCCATGCCATGTACTTTATTCCTCCTGTAGAAGAGCTCTCGGAATATTTCCCGTTCAAACTTGACCTCCAACAAGCTCTATACCACCATGCACCTTTCAATATACTGTGAGCTGCACAGTTAATACTAGATCTATCGTTATCACGATCGTAAGTAGAGAAAGGCGTATTGTTATGATACGTCATACTATCACCTGAAATTGGAAAAAAGAAGAATTTTAGTAATTTTTATTTATAAAACATACAACTGTTATAAATAGAAAATTTCTGTTTCTATATGTTTAGTGTTTTTGAGCATTAGTGTCCAGCAAACTGCTTTGACTGCCTTCGCTAGTTTCCTTTGATAAGGTGCATATTATAACTGATTTCCAAACTACGTGCCGTTGCTATTCCTTGTTTAAGTTAGTGGGAATTCTGTTGGTAGTTGCACAGTGCAGGTTTTGTGTGTTTTAGTTTTTTGGAATACGGTCTGGTTATGTAAAAGGGAACGTTTATGCGTACGTCAAACTGTTTTAACCCGATTACATGTGCTGGAACAAGTTAGGCTAACTGGACCGTATGTTGTTTGTTGTTGTTTGTCTTTAGATAGGATTTATATCTTTGTTACTCGAAAATTTTCTAAACCAACGGAATGATATAAAGCAATAACGAGAAAACTTGTCCAAAGTGAAAGGAAAAAGATGAAAATAGTCAAAGAGTGGAGAATAAAGGGTTTACCACAATTAAGTCAATGTACGACATTTAACATTATTATACTTCACGTAAAAATGCAATATTTTGATTGGCTTATTCGAGGGTGTTAATTTACTCTATTCTATGGTAAATACTCTATTACCCTTCACGGAGACGCTTGAACAAGTGTGCGCTTTATTAAATACGACTCTATCCTATGGCTAATACTCTATTACCCTTCACGGAGACGCTTGATCAAGTGTGCGCTTTATTAAATACGGATGGTTGTTATGTACAAGACGTCATAGTTTATTACTTTAAATTTGAAATTTAATCGACAGTAATAACAGAACATTCATTATAATAAGTTAAATTACACATATCTGAGAGGGTGATAGAGCAGATTGTTACCTCTCGAAAAGACATTGTCAAACATGGTTTCGCCTCAGTTGACAATGTTTTCTCGGGGTAACAATCTGCTCTATCACCCTCTCAGTTATGTGTTTTTATATATTGGACAATACCCATTACGTATAAAAGACACCGGGATTAATGATATAAAACATTTAAAAAAAAGACAATTAACGGCCCATATTATACAACAGAAACGAAAAACAAATACAACATACACCAACCAACGACAAACAACACTAAAACACCTCATGCGTTCGTTTGCACCTGTTGATCCAATCGTATCAGGAAGACACAAAGCCAAAAATCCGAAAGCAGCACAAAAAACGAACCACTTCAAGAAATGGATGTTTACAGTTAAGAGACAGGATTTGCTACAGCAGGTAAGGGTTGGCCGTTTCCATATATTTTATTCAACTATACTCTGATCACCAGCTGCCCCAGCAGGTTCTGAAATGGCCGTCACACGTCGGATTAATCTCTGAATAATACAAGACTACACTGAGACTGTAACGTAATACACTGGGTCTAAATTTTATTCAAAACTGCTGATCAATGCTGTAAGTGATTGTATTTTTGATAACACTCGGAGTTGTCCGTCGTTGTAGAATCAGTTTCGTAACAGCGTGGACATGGACACATGGTAATTAATGTTATCGTGTGTATCACTGGCTGTCGACAACAAAGACTTCACGCAATTACAGTATGTCAGGGGCTCTCAATGGGGATATACATAATTACTATCTTTACACATGTCCATTCATAAAATAAAAGTTTTTGCATGAAAATTTGAATACATTTATATACTCACAACAAAAAGTTTCTTTTGACAGAATGAGTATATTTAGAGGTGATATCACCAAGTAATCGAGAAATTTTTCTTTATGTTTTTTCTTGCACAAACGTTCTGTGGCTCCTTAAAAAATAAAACATTTATTCGTACGAGTCGATGTAGCGTAAACTACCATCAAATTTCATACTAACATTATTTTTGTTGGAAATAAGAACACCGGACCTTCATATAAAATCATTTTAGTCCTGAGGGCTGCATAATTTTTTGCAAGGAACAAATTTGAATTCTCATCGAAGACTACAACGATCAAATTTTCGTAAACATTTTGATATCAATCTAACAAAAAATAACTCGTGAAAATATCAAGAACACATGAATCCGGTCGTTGGTGCAAAATTTACGTTGATTGGAGTCAGAGTAGCTTTTGTGGAAACATTGATATCTATTTTAGATTTTGTCATACCTGAACACGTATAACAAAAAAGTTACGGGATCTATATTCTTTTGATACAAATTGAGAAAGTAATTTCAATGAATTTGGTCTTACTCAACTTTTTTTTTGTTATTTGAGGACACATATTTGAGACAATTCTGAATAAACGTTTATTTGCAATTCTATTCATTCTGATTTCAAAAGTCTCTTGTAAAGCCACCCTTTCCCTAAATTTAACTGAATCAGGAATGGTCGCCCCCTCAAACAATTTGAAATTGCACTCACTTCTTTTTCGGTTTCTGTGTTTCAAATTATATATCCATGAATTTAATGATATGTTCAGGGAAAACGGTACTATTTATTCTGCCATAGGCGACAATACTAACATTTTCTAAATTTACCACTTTTTATAGTAAAAACCTGGATAAAACAGTTATGTGTTTTGTTAGAACTTTTTTATTCTATTTTAAAAATTGAAGCCAAATAGTATCATGACCAATTTCCAACTGAGCTTGTTTATGTTATCCATGCCCACCGTCATTTTACACCAAATTAATGAAATTTTGGAAGCCTTTTCGAATAATTCTCTAGAAAATATTTCAATAGGTTTTAAAATTTATATTGTAAATATACACGCTGCAGTTATTCATAGATAAATAAAAAAATATATTGTACCCTTACATCCAATCACAGCGCTCCTAATTTGACTTCCTTCACCTGCCTTGGGTACACAAAAGGCCAACCTAATGCTGGGAAAATGTAATAGTACCGTTTTCCCTATACTGTGACAGTAAGATATAAAGAATTCTTATGTCACCATTAATGCAATACTGGGTTATTGTGAAAACCTTGGCTATAATAAATACTTGTATGTCCCCATTACTTAAAGGAACATGGATAATTTTATGTCCCCACCCCTGCATGCTGGTTTACCTCTTTCTCTACTTCTTTCATAAAGGCTTAATAAACAACCTGTATTCAATCATATCTTATCTTTTAAAAAAAATAAATATAAACAGTTCCATTTAAACAGATAAAAATGACAATTCCATTCAATTTGTATTCATTTTATCCAAAATTTACAACATAAGTACAAATTCAAGATTTTTCATACTAATCTCCATTCCATGCTTTAGTATATGCCATATTGTGGTTCAAAATTTCAGAGCTTGTTATAAAATCCATTATTCTGTCTTGAGATGATAAAAACAAAGATATTAGACACTTAAAACATTAAATATGCAAAATACTCAGCTGTAAAGTTGCCTTTGTTGCCTGTATTAATCTATGAAAAAGTAGAATTATGTCCCTTGGGAGTATTGATTTCCAACAAAAGTCCTTTCAAACAGAAGAAAATGAAAAATAATATATGCCTGATATAATAAAAGATAGAAACTACAAAATGAAGCACTATTGAAATATTTGCTGCATGAATTGCCAAGAATGTGAACAATTCGTTACACAGGATAGCATAAATTCTATCTAAATTTAGCCTCATGTGGGCCTCTTTTTTTCTTAAATGGACAATTTCAACACTGAAAATGCTTCTAGTATGACCAAATATTGCCTAACCCTATAAACAGTACAAACTTAACCCGACAATTTGCCATTTTAATAGATTATGTCTAGAGAAATACCCAAGTGATACATTTAGGGAATTACACAGCAAAAGAGGATAATATTTCAGTTAAAAATATTTGTCGCGACTTGAATTCTGGTGTTTTCAATTGAATTAATCATTGCGAAAGGTGAAAACAACACAAAATAACTATAGTTTGGTGCATTTTATACAATATAGTTAATATTGAAATCCTAGAATTAGGTTTTATATCAGCACCCATCAATTTGACTTATTATTATGACTCAGCACTTTTCTCAACACAGTATTGTTCTCAGTCAAAAAAATTCTATTCTTTGTGATAAAAATCAAATGTACTTATCAAATGCTTCAAAATAGTAAAAAATGACTGAAGTCTGATTGATTTTGGTTTCCCTTGCTATCTTGAGTATAGGGAAAACGGTACTATTTATTCTGCCATAGGCGACAATACTAACATTTTCTAAATTTACCACTTTTTATAGTAAAAACCTGGATAAAACAGTTATGTGTTTTGTTAGAACTTTATTATTCTATTTTGAAAATTGAAGCCAAATAGTATCATGACCAATTTCCAACTGAGCTTGTTTATGTTATCCATGCCCACCGTCATTTTACACCAAATTTATGAAATTTTGGAAGCCTTTTCGAATAATTCTCTAGAAAATATTTCAATAGGTTTTAAAATTTATATTGTAAATATACACGCTGCAGTTATTCATAGATAAATAAAAAAAATATATTGTACCCTTACATCCAATCACAGCGCTCCTAATTTGACTTCCTTCACCTGCCTTGGGTACACAAAAGGCCAACCTAATGCTGGGAAAATGTAATAGTACCGTTTTCCCTATACTGTGACATTAAGATATAAAGAATTCTTATGTCACCATTAATGCAATACTGGGTTATTGTGAAAACTTTGGCTATAATAAATACTTGTATGTCCCCATTACTTAAAGAAACATGGATCATTTTATGTCCCCACCCCTGCATGCTGGTTTACCTCTTTCTCTACTTCTTTCATAAAGGCTTAATAAACAACCTGTATTCAATCATATCTTATCTTTTAAAAAAAATAAATATAAACAGTTCCATTTAAACAGATAAAAATGACAATTCCATTCAATTTGTATTCATTTTATCCAAAATTCACAACATAAGTACAAATTCAAGATTTTTCATACTAATTTCCATTCCATGCTTTAGAATATGCCATATTGTGGTTCAAAATTTCAGAGCTTGTTGTAAAATCCATTATTCTGTCTTGAGATGATAAAAACAAAGA